GAGAAAACTGGCAAGCACTTTCCACCTTCATTTACCGCACCTCTGTCCTTAAATACTGACCATTGGTTGGTGCGTACGCTTGTAGAGAAACAATGGATGGGCATTATTGAGACCTCAACACTGCCGATCTGGACTGCCCGGTATTCACAGTGCCTGTGCGGCAAATCAGAAATAAGTGTTCCGAATGCATGCAAGCGTCGCTGAAATCATGTGTGACTAGGTGGAGGGGCGATGCTTGCATTCAATTTTCAATGCTCCCCAAAATTTGACATTCACGATTTGAAATCAAAAACGCAGATTTTTCACAATAATGGAAGAAATGTGAGTATTTTAAAGGTTGACGATTGCTTCGTGCAAAACATATATGCTGGATGACATGGCTTACAAACATATCACTAGTTACTGAAAATTGCTGCCCAGTTGATAGTAATGCAGGAAATTATGAATCACGAAAGTTCACTACCTCAACTTTTGGTCATCTGACACACGAAGATGCGACACAGTCGGGTAGATTCTCTGCAGAAGATGTGAACATCAAATGGTAAGCTAGTCAATTGGGGAAGGGGCATGAGTTGGTGATGTCTCATAGTGGAAGGTAATATGGCACGCACACATGGTTGGTGTCACAAACCTAAGGTGGAACACTGTATATCATTCATGAAACAAATATGTTTTGTTGTAAAAGCATTTTTGGTCTAGTGTTTTGGTTGTCGCGACCTAGGCTGGCTTCGATTATAACACTACTTGTGCGTCAAGACTTCGAGCAAATCAAGGAATTACAACTTGTGTGGTAAACGGAGGTGCGCTTTGTGTAAAGGACTGTTACGGAGTGCGTTGTAGTTGGATAAGGCGCCGAAGCATTGGTGAAGGTGTAGAAGTTGCCAGCCTAACGTAATTGCGAGTGAAGCAGAGGGCCAGACTTGCAAGTGCAGAGAGCTTCCAAACTGACACGGAGAAGTGAGTGAAAAGAGATGGTCTTGTGTGCATTGTAGGTAAGGGCATGCATGCCCACCTGCTCCATTTGTGTAAAATGAACTAATGGAAATGTTGCAGCATTGATTCCCCCCTGTCCGTCATCGGATTGGCAGCATGGACAGGCGAAAGTAACGCCATGTAATTCTAATTTAAATGAACTGGAGTGCCTGCCCTGTATCACGCACACAGCATGTTTTGAGTAATTAGTGTA